TATATATAATATATATATATATATATATATATATATATATATATATATATATATATATAGGGGATAGTTCTTGTGAAAACACCAATTATTGTGAGAACATGAGGACATTTTACAACCATTAGATTAATTAAATAGATGGATAGGATAATTAGGTATTTTCCTATTTAATAAAAGGCAAAAAAAAAGTGGAAAATACAATAAATGAGCTGATCACGGGGTTTCAGGGCATTTGGGTAAAAAACTAGGTTAACTAATTTAGGAAAAGGCTTCTCTGTTCGTGATTTTCGCCGGTGAATCCGTCTTCCAAATCCGTACGCATCGTCCAATTTTTGTTGAAGATATTAGCCGATTTCAACATTGAATGTGATTCTGGTGAAGCTGGTTCGGTAGTTGAATATAAAAAGAGTTGATTGCTCAACATATCACAGAATGAGGACTCTTCGATCAGAGTCAAAAATGAAGGGCAGCAAGTTCAACAACACCTTTGAAGAAGCCATTAACCTTGATAACGACGATTTCGTGAACATTCATTCAGGTTTTGCTCGTTGATGTTCAAATACAACTTTAAATTAGTTTCTGTTTTGAATACGACGATTGTTTGCTCTGTGTATTTAAAAGCAAATATAAAATGCGTAAAATGGTTAAAAATGTAGAAAGATAATGTTTCTAGTTGGTTTCCTTGTTGAATAAGACGATTCACGTATCCCAATTTTTGTTGTTGATTTTTTTTAGGGTTTTGTTGAAGATGACAAGTATTATAATTGTGTGTTTGAAGTTTTGTGTCCTGTTGATAATGATATTATAATCGTAGTATAGTTAAGATTATTGTTGTGGTTGAATCATGGAATCTAATTAGACGGATGACTAGTTTTTCAAGGTTTTTATATATTAAATAATAAATAGTCTAATTTTAAACCATTTTTCATTGTCATATGTTGCAGGAGGTTCTAGTGTGGTGATGCTTAGTAGGGAACCATTAGCAAAAAAGAAGGTGAAAACGCGTTTTCAAAAAAGTAACTTCTTTTGTGACTGATATTGTTTTAGCTTTGTATTTGTTTGACTGTGTGATGTTGTTTTGTTTTTTATGTGAATAATATTAAATGATTAGCCACATGTTTTTATTAATATTTTAATAGAAAGTATATATTAGTACTAAAATGTTCTTAATTGAGTATACAGTTTGTGTAAAAATATGCAATGCTTGCACATGTGTTCTGTAGTGAAAACATTTGGATATTGATAACATAATTTTAGAATTTAATATATCATATATGTCTTAGATTAAATATTCTGAACTGAAGTTTTATTATCAGTGTTATGGTTTGTGTTATAATAAAAGTACTCTAAAAAAATAATAACAATCATTGTGTATGAAATTATTCAAAACAGAATTCATCGTGTACTTAATAGTTTAATTTAGTATTCAATACAGATTACATTACATATGTAATGCTTCAATACAGAATGCACAATATGTGCGACAGTGTGCAATGCTTCCACATGTATTCAGTAATGAAAACATTTGGATTTTGAATACATTATGTACGAATTCAATAAATCATATATTTCTTATAAATAATTATTCTTAACTGAAGTTGTATTATTAGTGTTGTGGTTTTTGTTATTTTGTATTATGTCAAAGTAAAAGTATTTTTTTTTTAAAAAAAAAAATAAGGATTATTTATTAAATTATTCATATCAGAATTAATTGAGTACTTAATAGTTTATTTTAGTATTCAACACAGATTAAATTACTTATGTAATGAATACAGAATGCACAGTATGTGCAACAGTGTGCAATGCTTCTACATGGATTCAATAATGAAAAGATTTAGATGTTGAATACGTTATGTAATAATTCAGTACATGTTTTTATATGTTTTGGAAAAAAATAGGCTGCAATGAAAACATATACAAAACAAATATGCATTATTTATTATCACAATCGTGCATTCAATCTTAATATGAGTAATCAAAATTTGATTAACACATTATGTGTGTTAGTATGTAATATTCTGTTATGTTTAAGATTCGAGTTAGTATTCAATAAAGAACATATTAGGTAATCATTCAATACATCATATATTACTTATATTAAATATTCTGACTTGAAAACATATAAAAAACAAATATGCATGATTCTTATTTGTGTGGTCTTATCCCTAAGAATGAATTGAATATGGACATGACTAACAGTATTTGATGAGAGTATGTAATATTTCATAAAATCAATTTTCAGTTTATTTTTATTTTTGATGTAGTAGTCAATACAGAATACATTATGTATTTTATGCTTCATTACATATTACAGAATACATAATACATTAGTATGTAGTAGTCAGTTTGATGTAGTAGTCATTACAGAATACATTAGTATTCAAGGCAGAAAACATTTGCAAATATTATGCGTGATTCTTATTGGTGCAGTATTATAGTGATCATGCGTATGTTATTTTGGGTTTGTTGTAGGCGAATCAAGTGTTAGTGTAAGTAAGAAAAAGAAAAGGAAAGATGAACATTATGAAGATAGTGAAGCTGATGTTGATGTTAATGTAAGAAGAAGTGATAGGAAAAAAACTAAAGTCATAAAAATTGAAGTTTCAAAGGAAGATGTTAAGAAGAAAGGAATGAAGAAAAGAAAAACGAAAAGAAAGAATGTTGTAGAAAATGAAGATGCAGATGTTGAGGACGACAAAACTCAGGAGTTGCAAAAAATAAGTTGCCGTATGTCCCCAAAATCAATGTATATGGCGGTGAAGGGAATGTCATACAGCCAGAAAGAAATGGTGAGACGAATGGGTTTCGGTGCATTCCTTGATATAAAGTTAGATTCAATACCTTCTAGATTGGCTTACTACATGGTGGACAAATTTAGAGCAAAAACATCCACGATTAAGACTAAGAAAGGGGAAATACTTATTACAAAGAAAACGGTTGAAAAGATGTTTGGTTTGCCAAGTGAAGGTTTAGACTACAACCAGTTGGCGGAATGCGATAAAACAGATGTAGTTATTGAAGCATGGAAAAGTCAATATCCAGGAGGAAAGTTCAATAATGGAAACTATGTGAAGAGGATTAGACAATCGGATGTGGCGGATGACATGTTCAAGCTTAATTTCTTGACATTATTCATAAACACGTTTGCAGAGACAGAAATGAGTGGGGCAAGCCGTATTAATTGTCTGGAGAAATTAGCAAGGTGTGAAGATATTCAAAAAATTGATTGGTGCAAGTATATAGTGGAATGTTTGGAGAAGGCAAAATACAAATGGAGGCCAAATGACGCAAACTGTTATTACACAGGTCCAGTCACGCTGTTACTGGTAAGTATTTGTAAGTATGTGCATTTATTTTTGTTGTAGTTTTTTATTCTGTAATGAAAATAATATAAGATAACTTATTAATTCTGATGTTACAGCTTACGTATGCGGACAAAGTAGTTTTGAATGGATATAATCTCCGCAGATCAAGGCCATTGATAAATCAGATTGACTCAGTGGATTTGGAAATGTTGGAGGAGCATGGATTGAGAAATGGAGAATTTGGAACCTTGGAGTTTCGTGCAGATGGGGAAGTGGATCCTATTGATGTAAATGGTGATGAGGATAAGGTGGTAAGTTATTTTAATATTTATGTCATATTTTCTGTAATAAATAATATTATACATAAGAAGATATTGTAACTCGTTTTTATTACAATGACAGGTAGATGTGGAATCAATTGAAAAGATATATAGTAGGATCTGTGATGATAAGGAAAAATTGAGGAAGCAATTAAGAAGGGGTTAGAAGAGGATGCAAATGATGATGTGGTAAAAGAGTGGTTACGAAAGGTGCGAAAACTTTTTAATGAAAAGAATGTGGAACATGTAGATAATATCTCTCCCACAAATGAAGTGACAATGAAAACGCCCGTTAAAGTTGCAGTCAATCCTGGGCAAAGTAATTTTGTGAAAGGAAGTAGTTTTGTGAAAGGAAATAGTCCCATATGCAATGTTCAATCTACTGGAAGGAATAATGAGAAGACAAAGATTATGGATGGGTGCGACTCACCTTCCGTGCTCTTTCTGGAATATAAAGGAAATACATCATTGGATAGTCCAGTTGTTCTGACTCCTGGTTTTTGAATATGTCTGATGAGATTGTGGAACGGAGCATGAGAAAGAACAAGGATTTTTGCAAAGATGACATACCATCGTTCGATTTGAGAATAACACAATTAAATGAGGAAGATAAGAGTATGGATGTTAAAGAAGGAAGCAAGCCAGTAATTAGATATACAAAAAAATCTGTAGCGGAAGACAAACTGAAAAAAAGAACTGAAAAAGATATTATGGAAAGAGAAATGGTGCATGTTGATGAGTTGAAAAATGGGAAAGGTAAAAGGAAGGGGAAACTTGGACAATTGGTGTGTTCACCATATGTAGATCGGATAACAGATGTGGATGAGGCGGTTAAAGATGATGAAAACGTTGTGGCTCAAAGCATAATAGCATGGGGGAAAGATAAAGGGTAAGAATGTACATTTATGTGACTCAATTAAAATGGATTTTTTTTTTGTCGTGGCATTTTTATTGTATTATGTTTAAATGGTAGGGAATTTATATGGGAAACTGTTGATGGTCATGGAATGCATTTGGAAGCTGCACGTTCGTTAGCTATGAGAAAAAAAGTGCATACCAATGTAATAGACGCGTGGGCTGCTTTCCTTAATAAAACCGAAGAACTGAAGTCAGAGGCTTCTTACTCTAGGATGTACTTCACATGCGATACGATTGTAAGTTTTTATAAATAAGATGTGTGTTGTATGTCATATTCCGCTATGAATTGTAATATGGTCGGTATTTTGTTATGATAAAACAGACAGATTACATGGTTGATGAAGCTGTAGATGAGGAGCTAAGGTACAATAAATTCAGAATTATGTTTGTAGCTGTGATTAATGACATAACGGACAAACCAGATTTGAAAACGGTGGACTTGGTATGGAATTGTTAATTTTTACAGTTTTTAGACATGATTGGTATCACACATGTATGTGGAACTGATGTTGATATTGTTTAAATGTAGGTTTTCATACCAATTGTTGTTGATGAAAGTTACTACCTAGTGTGTTTTTGCTTGAAAGGGTTGCATTTTATATATTTGATCACATCAAGAGGTCTGGGACAATCGAGTCTGCATATGGGAATAGACCACGTATCCTGGTTAGATCTGTTGTTTACTTAATGAATTCATATATAGATCGTGAGTATTGTTGTTATATATTTATTATAATATGAATTATTATTTAATTTGACATGCAGAAAAGCTTCTTTTGTCGTTATCTGAATAGTGTTGAACACAAAAAAGCAAATGTGTTACTTAAAAAAGAAGTTGTGGTTATAAAAATGAAGTGTCAAAGGAATATAGTTGGTGTTGACTGTGGAATTTTCCTTATGCGACACATGGAAACATACATGGGAGAAGCGGCACATAAATGGGATTGTGGTCTATGTTTTGATGATAAAATTCAAGAAAAGATGTTGGGAAGGTTAAGGTATAAGTATCTGGATAAGTTGATGATGTCGGATTTTAATGTTATGAAGAAAACATTCTTGAAGCATTATGCATCTGTTAAAAAAATGGATAGGTTTGAAAGGATGAAGGTGATTGAAGAAAAGAAGAAGGAAATCACAGGTGTGCTGTAGTAGAATGATCTGTGAAGAAGATGGTGTTTTTTAATTAGGTTTATTAGTATTATAAAAACCTGATCGTTTATGAAGTTTGAAGTGTTTTGTTATGTTGGTTTTTTGGATTATGGTAATTTTGTTAGGATTATTATGTGTTGGACGTATTCTAAGTAAAACTATGTGATGGTTTATTTAATGGTTATTATTAGAACTGTGAACCTGAATATTTCTTATATTCCATATGTAATATATGGCATATGACACTTAGCAAAGGGCACACATTGATAAGAAATATGAGTCATGTAATTTCTAAAGCTATGGGTTTGTGGTGCATTTTTGTTGAATATATGGATGCTAAAATGAAATACATGTTGTGAGTAACTTAAAGATTTTTTCCCCATCAAATTCCTATTATATTAACATAGATTATAAGACTTAATTTGAATTATGAATAGTGAAAAGAATGACTATAAAAGTTGGTGTTAGAATAATAAACACCTATTCACTTATTAAATTCTGAAATGAATATATAACATAATTCTAATTTGAAGTAGGTATTAAGCGGTGTTATCAACAAATACATAATTCATAATCCATATTTTTTAAGTGCATCTTATGATTATTTTATGTATGAAAATAAAGTTTTTTTGTTAACTAGATTTATAAATACGTATAATGTAGATGGGGATACTTCAAATAAAAATATTAAAAAGTGTGAGAAGGTAAAAACATTATTTTTATGTTATAATTCTGGAATGAATTTTGTATCAACAGTCTTATTTTGATTATTCAACAATGAATATATGAATATTTACAAGGCAAAACTAATTTTATAATTTACTATGAAAATGCATATGCATTAATGTATAATAGAATAATAACATTTTAATGAATCTATGAATAATCAAACGTTTAATATTCATATTAAAATTACTTCAACAATAAACATATACAACATTCATTACAGAATAATAACGTAAACATAGTGTTTTTACGTTATTGAATATGAATGTAGTACTTAATTATATGTCTACTTATAATCATGGAATCAATTTTGGTTTTATAAATTCTGAAATGAATAATGATACAAAAAAAAAACATAAGAATGTAATGTTTTGTGACTTTATTAATAAGATAATGACATTTATAATGTATTGGTTGTTGTATACGTGTAATAATGTTGTAAGGATTGGGATGGTTAAAAAACAAGGAATATGTGGATAAGCTTTGAAAACAATTTCAATGAAAAATAATAAACAAAATTTAAAAATAAAGTATAGATAGGGTACACAAGTTATAAAAACATAATACTGAAAAGTGACAATTGACTGAGAATGTTAAAAGTGTTTTACCATAAAGTAAACAAACCAAACAAAATAATATGAAATAAAAAAGATCAATAATAAAATTAGTGCTTTTTTCCAGGATGTTGTTTAAATATGTTGTTCTTCTCATCTTCCTTTCGTGTAGGATAATTCCGCTTGTCATGATCGTTACCCTTACGACAGTATTTACAACGTGATTTTTCAACTGCAATTTCCGAGCACCTTTAATCCTTTTTTTAGTCCCAGACCCTTTGTTCCTAATTCCAGTGGGGTTTTGAATTTGAACATATGCGGGTATCGACACACCAAGTCTATTTTCAAAGTCTGTTGACTTGTTTGGGCGTTCATTCATAGTAACGCCATCCATAAACTTGCTCTCCAATTCCTTAAGTGCTTGATAATACTCTTCCAGTCTTTTTTTGTTGGTGCTCAAAGAAGAGAGACAGTTGTCAACCGTTGAAAATATGTCAATTGCTATTTTTTGTATATTCTCATCAGAATCTGAATACCGGAAACATCTTCGTAACAATTCAGGTGGAATAATATCCTTCTGCCACCGTCTTAGAAGATACTTTGTTGGTATGAATTGGATGTTGAAGGCTTTCATTGCAGTAAAAATGTGGCGACAAAGAATCCCAAATTGTTCAAACTTCATACAACTACAAATGAATGTGTCTTCTTTCTGGTCACATTTAACCTGTATAGAAAAATAATCAGATATATATGCAAAATTTGGTGTGGAAAAAAATAAGATGATATCAGAGTTTAAAATAATACCGTATATATAGAGTCTCTTAGCAACTTATCCCAATTATCATCGTCATCATCACTGACAATATCGGAGTCAGATCGATTCGAGATGGAATATCCATGTGGCCTAAATTCTTTTATCTGAAACTCATGAACATGGTCAACGATGTTGTGATTTAACGAAAAACATGTTGTCATTGACCTGTACATTTCGTTCTGAACCTGTCTAAACACTTTACGTGTGTAGAATAGAGAAGCGTTTTCCTCTATTGGAAATGGTGTTCTCATTTTAGGGAATTTGTCTTTTGTTTTGAAGTCCAAAGAGGATTGAGTATAACGTTGCTTCTCCATGGCAGATTCAAACGAATTCATAAAGTTTACTAAAGTTGATCCATAATGAGTGTTTTGATGAAAGGCTGAGTTCTGACTCTCAGAACGAGATGTTGTTCTCATGAGACCTGACATAGGGACTCTTTTGAAAAATGCAGGAATCCATGAATGTATCAAGTTGTACATTCTACTTAACCAAGTATTATCGTTAAGATCATATTCATCCAATAGTGCTTGCCATCCCTGTTCGAAATCTTTCTCTTCAAGCTTAGAATTCCATATCAAGGAGTTGAACAGTAACTTAAATTCCTCGTCGTTGACAATATCCAACGATACCTTACAATAAGAAAATGTGGAAGGTGTTAAAAATCAAAATCATTGAATCAGTCCAAAATGTATAAAAGGAAACGACAATAATGTTATAGAACATTAGTCAATGTAGACTATATGTTAGAGATACAAAAGTACTATCATTGATTCTTTTCAGAATGTAAAATTAAAATAACAGTGATTCAAAATGAATAAAATGTTGACGGAGAGATTATTAAATAAAAGCTTGTAACCTTCAATGGTAATTTGGAAGTGATGTGCCACATACACAACCTATGAATTGATTCTGGGAAAACATTGGCTATAGCGTTTTTCATCGCGGGGTCTTCATCAGATAACACCAATATTGGTTGTTTACCAAAGGCTTTAAGAAAAGATTTCAACAACCATGTGTATGAGTCGATATCCTCTTTGCTAAGCAATCCAACACCAAAAGTAACACACTTTTTGTGATTGTCGATTCCAGTGAAAGGAACAAATACCATGTCATACCTAAAAAGTGGTAAAATTTACATTGAAATTTTTAAAAGACTTAAAATTAAAACAAAAAACATAAACATAAAAATACATAACTGTTGGTTCGGAATGTGGCATCAAAGGAGACAACATCACCAAATTGTTTATAATTTATCTTTGAGGTCTCGTCAGCCCAAAACATAGCGTTGAGTTGCTTATTTTCAACTCTGAAATCGAATGAAAAATTAGGAACATTTTTTGTTCTGTTTGTCATCTTATCGACTAACATTTGATCATCAGTTCCACCTATAAAGCAATTAAGATCCCTCATCAAAATTTTAAAATCATCAACAGTGCCTCCAATAATATTGTATCCACCATTAATAGCAGTAAATAGCATGTGAGCTTGGGTGGCACCAACGTTCTGATTAGAAAGACTGATAATGAACGATTTCTGCCATGAATTAAGCTGTCTGTGGTGTCGGGAAAACAATATGTTATCTTGAGACATAAGCTCATGATTATGTTCCTCTACAAACTCATATAGCAACCATGTAGAGCTTCCTTCTATCATCCTAAATCTGATACAAGCATTGCATCCAGTCCTTCGACTATCAGTCCTTCTTTTTATCTTACTTATGTTTGGGTTCAATGTATCAACATGACCTGTATTAGGAAGACCTTGTCTGTTACACACGAGGTATCTCAATCTAATAATACCATGCCCATTTTTTCTATTTGTCGTTTTTCTAACATCAAAACCTGCTGCAAGAGCATACTTGTAATACATATCTGTTATATCTTCATAGGACCTGTAATGGCCTTTGAGTTTTGGCTTAACTTCATCAGGTACCTTTGGAATCCAATACTGTTTCCATTAATAAGCACATGCTGATGATTAGAACTTTGATGATTATCATTAGATTGATTATCATCAAATACACCCAATGTCTCGTCTTCAATTGAAATATCACCTAAAACGTTTGCATCTAGATCAATATTATCATAAATATAACAATCTTCTACTAAAAAAACATGATGAATTAACATAAAATATACTATCAGAATTTAGTAAAAGGAAGTTAACATTTACGAAAAACTGTAATAAATTAAACCTGGATTCTTATCATGATATACGAAAATTTGTAAGAAATTAAACCTGGATTTTTATCAATTCCATGATGTTGGTCATCGAACAGACTATCATCAAAAGTATGATCTATTCCATCCTGCATTGAATATAAATCAACATGGTCGCCGTCTTCTGTATGAGCATCCATTTGGATCAATAGAATAATAAAATCTTTTTCAAAACGATGAATGATATGACTGGTAATACAAAATGATTAATAGGTGGGTTTCATTTGTGGATTATGGAAAGATCAATCAACGTATTTTTAGGCTATTTGTTTTAATTACTTGATTGACTTTTGTGTAAAATTACATGCTTACCCTTAAAAATAAATTAAATTATTTTTTTAAATGATAAAAATTGATTGGCTGTAAATCGTCCTCACGTATTCATACTAATCTATGTTTTTAAATGAACCTACTTCTATATATATATATATATATATATATATATATATAATATATATATATATATATATATATATATATATATATATATTATACCTTAATATACATATTGGTCAAAGGCTGAAATTTAAGAGGTACAAGACATTATGCAATTTGTACAATAAATTTATGCATTAAAAAGAGTATCGTGGCTTATCTGGTCAACATTTACTCAATTCATTTGTTTTTGACTTGGTAATGAATGAAACAGTCAAAACCTAATTCATAGGAAAATATTATAAACGTGAC